AGAGAGGGATGTGCCTTTCCAAATGATGTCCAATCAATTTAATTTAACTCAGGTAGACTCCAATCAATGTGTAGAATCAGGCTGCAGCATAACAAAAGTGACAAAACTGAAGGGGTCTGAATACTTTCTGAAAGCACTGTGTATGTATGTGTATATATGTGTAGTATATGCATATTGTATATGCATATTGTATGTGTAGTATATGCATATTGTATATGCTATAATTTATGTGTGATAAATTATGATTAATATTAGTTTCATCAAGTCATGTGAATTGGTTGTTAAGTGAGGACTACCTGTACTAAGCAAATTTATTATTTTTTTAAGTATGTCTACCTAGTGGTAAAAAACAGAAAGGTAAGAAATTGGTAGACTTTCCTGGCAGTGAGTGCTGCCATTGTATTTCTTGGGCTTGTGTGCTGCCTGGAATTGCAACTCCAATGCTGACTTTAATGCTTAGACATGTTTATATGGATAACACCAGAGCTTTAAGAGGCACCCATGACATTTCTGATTGAGCGAGCGAGCAAATAGGCAACCAGTGGAAGGACATCTAGGGTGAGAAAAACATTTTTGATCTTCTGGTGCCTGAATAGCTCTCTCTGACAAATTGAAGTTTTCGGATTGACTTTAAAGAAAGACGGATGTACAGTGCATTACATTATTACAATAATTCAGTCTGAAAATAATGAGGGCATGGAAAATTGATGCCAACTCTACCTGATGTCTGGTAAGACCTTGTTCAGAGATTTGGGGGTTCCTCTTTTAAACACCTGTTTATTATATGACAGTTTGCTTGGCCTCTTTGCTTATGAGGTGAATCATCTTTGAAATTTAGATTTTTTATTTGCCAGGTAGAAAGTCTCTGGTGGCAGTTTTGATTCCTTGATATTCATATAGTGCTTTAATTGAATTGTGACCATGGTCAATTTCCTTATCTGAGTGGATTTCCACTGTGGCATTGCAAATACATATTTCAGCAAATACAAGAATTTTAATTGATATTATTGTTTTTGCCTACAATCTACAAGATAGGAAAAATTAGTAAGTGGACTGAGAAAAAACTAATTCTGTACAATTTACTTTAGAAAAAGCTTTCTCAAGAAAATGTAGTCTATTTCAGAAAAGGTGACTATTGAATTAAACTACAGTTCGCTTAACCATAATTTGCTGAGTAAACCACAGACTGCTAGGTGATAAATGATAGTTTATACATTACTATAGCTAGGTTCAAACATTATACTAAACCAAAACTAATAATATCACAATTAGCAAACTAATTGTTTATTTACTTTATTATGTAAGTGCCTCCACTAGTTTGTTTAATAATGCATATGGAATATAATATAAAATTAAGTAAATATTGGTTCACAATTCAGCTATATGTGTAGTTGCATTACTTTTTTATTTTACTGAAAGATGTTTTTAATATAACTGATATTTTGAGTAAAGTAGCACTCAAGATTTAATTAAGTTTTTATGTCACTAAATCTATAAAGACTTGCAGTAGTACATAAATTCAATGACGAAAATATCTGCAGTAAGCATAACCAAATCAAATGTAAGCCACATAAGTAATCAAGTCAAATAAGCTGTAATAATAAAATGGTTGAAGTAACCATGTAAACAAAGGCTCACAGTACACAAATGAATAAACATGTTGACATAATAAATAAATGGGTTAATTATAATCTCAGAGATGCATATAAATAACCTCGTATCACAGTTCAACCACTCAGCCATTCTGAAATAGCTTGATTTTCACTGCTTTCTGGAAGGTATTGTGTGCCCCCTCTGATATCCAGAGGAAGACTGTTCCATTGGTGCCATTGTGGTAAATTATTCTCTGGATCCCAATCTTTTTGGCAGTAGGGATCAGTTTCATGAAAGACAATTTTTCCACAGACCAGGGTCGGGGGAGGTGGGGAGAGCATGCAACTGAGATCCCACGCATGTGCAGTTTACAGTAGGGTCTGCACATCTGCTGCTCACCTCTAGCTGTGTGGCCCAGTTCCTAACAGTACCGTTCTGCAGCCTGGGGATTGGGGACTCCTGCTCTACTGGTTTAATTCCTCCTGATTTTACAGAGGTATAGGATAGTTAAGACCTTCTCCCAACATAAGTGGGTAAATTCTTACTGAAAAATATGGTCATACCACAAATGGCTAAATGGAGCAGCTTCTAAAGACTATTCAGAAAAAATAAAATTAGTACAGAATATGGCAGCGCCATTGCTGCAGGTGTTAATTCCAGGAGTGTATTATACTTGTCCACAACGCTCTGCATTAGTTGCTGAAAAGCTGTATAAGTGCAATTCAGAGTACTAGTATTAACCTATAAAGCTGTGTATGGTTGGCACTAGGGTACCTTCAGGATTGACACCTCCAAATAGCAACAGTTTATCACAAGAAACTCCTACTTACTCCACATTTTAGAGTGATAAACGTGGCCAGGTGCTTTTCTATTAGATAACTAATAATGTGAATAGTCTCCCTGTAAATATTAGATTAACCTTCGCCTTAATGCTTTTCCACAAAGAAGATAAGGTTGGATTATTCAGCAGGGCCTTTGGGAATAAATAATTTTCACTGTAATTTTATTAAATCTTATTTGTTTTATGTCCCGCCTTATTATCCTTTTCTTTATAAAAAACTCAAGGTGGCAAACATACCTAATTATCTCTACCTCCTTCTATTTTTCCCACAACAACCTTGTAATGTGGGTTGGGCTGAGAGAGAGTGACTTTCAGAGATGTATGTGTGTGTGTGTGTGTAAAATTGGCACTGAAAAGATACATGACATAAAATATTTTAAAATGCGCAATATAAGACAGGAATAAACAGTTCATGTGTTGCATATGGTCTTTAAGGTAATTCTATTCAAGCAGCTTATTTCTTTGATCAGTTCTGGATTACCCTGATCTTATAAATCAGGGATAAACAACTTAGGATCCTCTACAAGATCTGAGTCATATGTCCCATAATCCCTTATCATAACCATTTTGGCAATGTGCTTTATTGGTGTTAAAGTCCAACTGCAAATGTTTTAAAACAGCAGTCTGTGGTGAATATGTTTGAAAGTATGAATGTTTATGAGCGAGAAGGAGGAGAATTACTCTTCCTTTTATAATAGTTAATTGGTGTTACAGCAGCCATTTTATAAGTATTTTTATACAAAATCAGCTTTTCTCATAGAGCTGGACAAACCATTCCATGGTATGCTTTATGAATCACTCCTCAGAACCTCCTTTTTAAAATGACAAGATAGTCTTAACTATTGAAGAATTGGTATGATTCTTTCACAGTTCTTTCAGTCTAAGCATGCTGCTTCTTTGAACAGTATAGCTTGAATGTTCTTCTGACCACAGGGTTTAAAGGGGTGTTAACAAAGAATTCTTAAGAGTGGCAGTCATGTATTATACTGGTTGCTTATTTGAGATCTTCACATTGAGCAGGGTTTTCTAATTGCAGTGCAGCCACTAAGCATGCCTGGAGGATAATTTCCTTCCTTCCGCTATTTGAAAATTGTAAATCAGTGATTTGAGATACATCCAGAACAAATAAGCAAACATTATTATTATCAAATTAAAAATAGCCAGCTATTTCCTTGATGCCGGAATAAAATTAATGTTGATGTTAGTCTGGCTTCCCAAAGAAGAATATTCTATAGTTTTAGTACCACACTTGAAACATAACTTTTCTCCTTCATGCAAATTTATGATGGACACTTTTTTTGGTGGGCTCCAGAAGAAGAACCTTTTCTGCCTTGGCCTCCACCCTTTGGGACATCTTGCCACCAGAGGTGAGATTTGCCTACTCTCTTCTGACCTTCAAGAAAAGCCTTAAAACCTGACTATGCCAGTTGGCATAGGACCTTGAAGGAGTAGCCTTAAGCTGGGGGTGGTTGGTGCAGTAACAGCAAAGGTGCCATGCTGTTCTGCTCCAAACCCATAATTGTTTTAAAATCCTTTGCAATTTTAATTTGCTTTTATATTTATAATTGTTTTTATGTCTCTGTTTTTTATACATTGTAAGCCGCCAGAGTTCTCTCAAACAATGAGATGGGTGGCGTACAAATTTCATAAATAATAAACCAAATAGTGTTCCATCCAGTTGCTGTTATCTTCTTTATTTTATTTTTATTTTATTTTTGAATTTGTATACCGCCCTTCTCCCTGAGGACTCAGGGCGGTGAACAGCCAGATAAAAACATCAAATACAAATATTAAAACACATTTAAAAATATATAGAGATTTGGCCCCATTAATTAAAAACGATAAGCAAAACAGGACAATTAATAAAACCCTTAAAAAGAAATTAAGCCAGCCCGGCTTGTTGAAAAAAGAAAGTTTTAAGGGCACGGCGGAAGGCACTGACTTCTTGAAAGTCAACCAATGCATATGGTAAATTTTAGTCATCTTAAGAGGATTTATTTATTTATTTATAAGGTTTATAAGCCTGCCTAACTCAAATAGCATGACTCTGGGTAGTGCACTGCATAAACAACAATAAATTAAAAAATAAGAAAAAAAACACCATATAACAATAAATGAACAATATATAAATGTAAAATGGTGAAGAATCAAAACAAAACAACTATAGTGGGACTCCCATTCTATAAGCACCATAGAAGACCTGCGGGAAGAGGCAGGTCTTAACAGTTTTCCTAAAGGCAAGAAGAGTTGAGAATTGCATATTGGTGTGTGTCTGTGGGCTGGGTGGTGGTGGTGGTAACAGGTATGTTTCCTAGGTCACATAAGATAATAATGGCAAGATTTAAAATAAGGATCCTGGAACACACAATCTATTGTGACCATTTTCTCCGTAATCAGGAATTGCTGGGTTTGGTGAACCCAAACAAGATTGATCAAAAGCAGTATTGGTTAAGATGATTTATAGATGATATACCTGCTTTTCAAAGACGAATTCAACATCATCTGGGCTATGACACTTTTATCATACCTGTCTCATTTCATTTTCATTTATCTTTTTCTTCTTTAGGCAATAAAAGAATTCTAATGGGAGCACTGTTCTGAAATTCGGTTTTGCTGGATGCCATTATGGGTGAGTTCCAAACATATGCCTGAGACTGAATTTAAATAGTAAATGATGAGTAATATTCAAACTCAATGGGAGTTTTTAAAAATCACATAAACACATGAATTACCAGAATTACTATCTAATATCAAGCTGTTGAGATCTATATTATGAATGCTCTTAAAGTTACAATGCAAACTATCCTTAGATTCTACTCACGCTTCTTAATTTGATTAGTTTTTTATGATTTTTAAAAACTTAGCTTGACAAATATATTTCCTTGTTTCATTATTATTTAAATAGATGAACAGCAAGCTTTGAATTCAATCATGCAGGATTTGGCAGTTCTTCATAAGGCAAGTCGTCCTGCTTTGCCGCTTCAAGAAATGGGAAAGGGAAAGTTAACTTCACCCAAAAAACAGGTAATCATCTAATGTGTTTGCCCAGCACAGTGAAGATTTTTTGCCTATAATTTTTACAAAAAATTACATAACAGATTTTAAACATACGTGCTGTATATGCTACCCTGTTTTCCCCCAAATAAGACATCCCCTGATAATAAATCGAATGGGGTTTTTGAGTGCATGGCAATAAGGCCAAGCGCTTATTTCAGGGTTAAAAAAAATATAAGATGGTCTTATTTTCGGGGAAACATGGTAGTTTATTTTCTGTGTGTTCCTGTGTGTTCTAGTATAACTAATAATGCTTCAAAAGACTGGAAAAGATTCATATACAATCCTTACCTTCAGATACATATTTTTATAAGCTTGTGGAAAAGACATCTTTATCAATGCCACTGATACTATAAATAAGTTTATATAATTCTCTTACAGAATGATGTACGAGTCAAATTTGAACATCGAGGAGAAAAAAGGTAAACAATTCATTTTAGCGAATTTCTGTTATTTTCTGAATATGAGAACTTTTAAAACTTTTTCAGTGTTTCATAAGTTTATAGAATCTTGACTTAATTTAAAACTACCTAATCAATCTTTGAAAACCATAACCATTAGCTATTTTTTAAAAAAAGTCCTGCACAGGTTATGGTTGCAGTTGGTTCAGGAACTTCCATCACTTAAACAATCAAGTCATAGATGCAATGTTACATAACTACATTATTTAGCAATGGAAGTTCCAGCAGCCCCAGGAACCATAGTAACCCCAGGATTATGTGGGTCATTAAGTGGGAAAAGTCGGGAGTCCTAGGCAAGCAGGCCAGGAGGCGAAATGAGGGATGCCGTGGGCAGAGGCTCCAAAGTGCAGGCAGGTGGGCAGGTGCGGTGGAGGACAAGGAAATGCCATAGGCAGGTACTCAAGTGCAGATTAACATGTCGTAAATAGGTACTATGGAGCACAGGAAAATGATGGGAAGGGTGTTTCATTCAGGCCATACAGAATGCGGGTGAGTGTCAGTGGGTGGCAGGGATGTGCTGGAGGCAGGCACTACAGAACTTAGGCAGGTAAAAAAGCAGCAAGAGTGACTTGATTTCTATTCAGGTTTCCCATTAGATTTGCTTCAGGGAAGCTGGCAGGGAATGTTGGAAATCATGATCATATGACCATGGGGATGCTGCGATGACTAGAATTCTGAGGACCTGTCGTTAAGTCCCCTTGTTCAGCACTTTTGTAATTTTGCACAGTCACTGAGCAAATGTTATAACCTAAAATGTATGAGGATTTTTGTTTTATTTTTAATTTCTGCTTAAAGAATAGATGTAATAATATGTCATATTGCAATCTTTAATTTTTTATTTCAGTCCAAGATAGTTAAATAGCTAGATAGCTAGACAGACAGATAGTGTTTTTTAGGATGGTTACATAAGAGGTTAATTGACTTAATAATTAACTTCAAACTACAAATATAACAACAGAAATGTGGTAAGATTCAGGTTATTCTGACAAACAAATTTTAAAATACAGGCATACTATATTCCATATGAAATTGTAAATCACATAGTACAAATTATTTTTAATATAGAAATTAATTCCTAGAACGCTTGACTGAGTTAAAATGTTGCAAATTAAAGTTTAGTTTAACTTGATTTATCCTATTATACTTGTTGCAATTCTTAGGTAGATCACTTCCTAGGATGGCTTTCTAATACTAGGAAATCTGTATAAGTTAGCAACATAATCTTTTTACTGTCAATTAGCTCATTAGTCTCCTCCTATAGTGTGAAGAAATAAGGTATAATTTGGTTATTGCACTGTGCAATATTTTGAAATACAGTTTTGTCCACAAGTAGTCATTGACTTGGGATAATTGAAGTTGAAATTTCTCCCTTTGGAAGGAAAGGAAAGGGATAAGCCTTTATTTAGTCCTTTGTAGAGGCAAAGAAAGGAACGAGAGCTCGGTTCTCCATTACAATTGAATTCAGCTCCTCTACTTTAATTGTTGGGGAAAGTGGTTTGCCTTTTCTTTTTTTCAAGATGGCACTGAAAATAAGTTGGACTTTCATAATTATAATTTATAATTTCTTTCATTTCTGTAAATTATTTCTAATAAAGTTGTATCCTACTTTATAGAATCCTACAGTTTTCTAGACCTATCAAGCTAGAAGATCTTGCATCAAAAGCTAAAGTTGCCTTTGGACAGTCCATGAATTTGTATTACAGCAATAATGAGGTAAAATAATGATTTTTAGACTGTTCTTTGTAATGTTGATATAGTGAAAACTTTAACATCTTTAACAAGTAACCTGTTTCCCCCAAAATAAGACATCCCTGATAATGAGCCCAATCGGGCTTTTGGGCGCCTGGCAATATGGCCAAGCGCTTATTTCAGGGTTCAAAAAAATATAAGATGGTCTTATTTTCGAGGAAACACGTTAGCATTTGGGATATGGGAAAACCTGGTTAATTTTTACTATGGTTTCATCTTTCTACTGCTTACAGATCCTGCTTAGCCGAATTGTCATAATGAAATATCCTTTTTATGGCTCATTTCTACCCTTTTTCTAGCATGCTATCCCTTAGTTCTGCTAAATACTAATTATTAAAGACAGTTGGTGTTGCTACAGTTAATTTTCAAGCCACAAACCGAATGGGTACATACATTATTTATATTTAACTTGCACTTGTGAATTTTTCCTATGTATAGCTGGTAATTCCATTAGCTATCCAGGATGATCTGGACAAAGCTGTGGAGCTCCTTGATCGCAGTGTTCACATGAAGAGCCTAAAGATATTGCTTGTTGCTCATGGAAACACACAGGTGTGTTAAGGCTTTGTATAAATTTGTATATTGCTATAACACTTTTCCTCTGTTGTTTGCTTGTGACCCCTAACAACCTGATCCCTCTGGAAAATTGCCATCTATCCCCTTCCTTTATGGAGGAGTATTTTTCTTTGGGTTCTAGTTCCAGAAAGCCACAGAGCACTTGTTTTCATTAACAAGTGATTTTTGATCAAATCTATAAAAAAGGTTTGAGTCAAAATTATTTTTGGAAAATGTCTGCATGAATTCTCATTTTTTGTCTTTTAACCCATTAAGTTTGGTTACTCTCATGTGCACATTATCTGTATTTGTAACTCAAAAAATCCAAGCATTTGTGGGGGGTATATGTATTATAGTAAAATTTGATAATGATAAAATATATATTGCATGTAATAAAACATGTTCTGTATGTTCACAAAGTATTCATGAAATATAAATTGCAATCACAAAACTCATTATATAATACCATGTTTTTACTTTAAAGGTTACAAATGTTATTTTTTTAATAGTTGCGTCAGTAGAACAGTAAGAGAGATAGATTATAGCCAAAGCCCAAAACAATTTAAAAGATGATGAAAAAGTTATATAGCAACTATATTTTGCTTGTCGATTGCTATCCTTAGAAAGATGTGTGCAGAAATATTCCTAGGTGTGCCAGAAACTTTTATTTTCCTGTTTCTAAATTATCTCACTTAATATATTTTAACCTTTCATTCTTGCTATAATTATAATCTTAACATTTGGAATGTGTGTATTTGGGAAATAATAGCATATTATAATATCTTACTGGAAACATGCAAACATTTGGGGAAAAGTCCAGTGTCATCAAACTGGAATTTTGTGCCATGTGGTTTTAAATAGCCCTGTCATCTGTAATTCCATTTCATAAAATTTGTACCAGAAGACCTCAATCCCTCTGAGTCAAATTTGAGGACTATGGAAGGGAGAATAATTAGCTTCTACCGATTATCATCTGTGGAAGTAGAAATGAAACATTGGATGCCATCTATATTTATGACAAAATGTTGCTTCCTTTTTTATAAGGGTAGAGATTTTCTAAAAAGCATAAATAAATAAACATACTTTTCTCCTTCTAGAATAACATGGATCCCTTGTCATCATTAGAAGATTTGGATAATACAGTTTTCAGAGTAACAGAAAAGAAAAACAGGAATTCTGTAATAGGTAACAACACTTCATATTTTTAATTTTAAACTGGTGATTATTTATTTATGAAACATTTACACTTCTTTTGATGTTGCCACAGTAATTTGCAAAAGGCAAACAATACAAATATTGCCGCACACAAAGACCAATGATTAATGTGCAGTATGAATCTTAAATAATTGAAAAGTCATAGGAACATTAAACAAGTCAAAACTAAATTCATGTAATAGGATTATAACAAGAACAAAGTACAATATCCAAAATATTTGATTATGGGAATACAGGTAGTCCTCGACTTAACAACAGTTCATTTAATGACCATTCGAAGTTACAATGGCACTGGAAAAAGTGACTTATGACCATTTTTCACACTTATGACCGTTACAGCATCCCCATAGTCATGTGATCAAAATTCAGACACTTGGCAATTGACTGTCTTGGGAACATGACCTTTTGTGGCCTTCTGGCAAGCAAAGTCAATTGGAAAGCCAGATTCACTTAACAACTGCATTATTAATTTAAAAACTGCAGTGATTCACTTAACAAATGCAGCAAGACAGTGGAGTAAAATAGAGTAAATGGAGTAAAATTCACTTAACAAATGTCTCGCTTGACAACAGAAATCTTGATGTGATAGTCTCAGTGCCTATAGCTTTTTCAAATTCAGTTTTTAATTTCTTTCATGTCCTGCCCATAATTTTCATACTTACACATCTGAAAGCTACCAAAATTAAAGCAGCAGATTAATTGTTTTGATAGATTATAAACAAACCATCAAGAATCATTTATTACTTTAATTTTTAAATCAAATAATATTCTTTTCTTCTGATCCTTCATGTATTTTCTATTTCAACCGATGTCAACATTCCATATCAATTAAAAAAAATCCAGAATAGGGTCAAGATGAAAAAAATGTGGAAATAGTGACTAATATTTTATATTTTCTGTGTAATTTATGTCACTTTATAGACCAGTATTCCACAATTTTGTATTCTGTGAAGGAATTACATATTTTCAGCACCAGAAGATTGTCTGAACTAAGGGAAAATGTATTTTTCTATAGCTGTAGTTTGCTGGGGAAACAGTATGTTTTGACTACTTAAAAGCAAAACATCAAAAACCACTCTGTTGGAAAACATCAATGATATTAAGGAATAAGTTTGTTTATAATCCTTTTCCTTTTTTTAAAAAAAAATTCAACAGGCTATACTCGTGACAGCAGCTCTCCTCCTCCAGGATACATTCCAGATGATCATGTGGCACGGAATGGATCATTCACTAGTATCAATAGTGAGGGCGAGTTCATTCCAGAAAAAGACTTAGTAAGCATTCTCTTGTTAAAGGATCTTCTACATGCATATCTGGTAGCTTGAGGGGTTTTTTGGGTGGTCCCCCCTTTTCTCCTTAGATTAACATTTATTGATGTTGGCTCAATATTTATTGATGTGCCTTGAACTAACGGAAATTTTAAGTACATTTTTTGTGCTTTCTTTCAGATGTTGGATCCATTATCACTGAGTAGCCCTGAAAATTCTGGCTCAGGGAGTTGTCCTTCACTTGATAGCCCTTTAGATGGGTGAGAATAATTTATAATTTGTCTTTCTGCTAAACTCTGCAAGCCATAGTTTCTTACTATATTCAGGAGGCTCTTAGTTATTAAGAATTTAATATTGCAATGTTTTGTGTTTCTAGAGAGAACTACCCTAAGTCCCGGATGCCAAGAGCTCAGAGCTATCCTGATAACCATCAAGAATTCTCTGGTAGATAAAAACAAATGGGCATTGTTTCCAATGTTATTGTTATAAAATTTTATATTTAAATATTAAGTACCTATAGCTTCACAATATAGTGTTTGAGTTGGTCAAAGACTATGGTAGCAAATGCAGAAGTATATGTAATACAGCTATATAATTAAAGAAATATCTAACAAATCAGGAAATAGCAATCATTGCTGAGATGATAAAAAGGATCTTGATCTGTTTTTTTTATTTTTAGTAGATATATTTATAATTTCAATTTTTTCAAGATCCTTTGGATTTATGCAACTATTTGTCTAGCTCTGTAAACATATGATGTTTAAACATATAAAATATTGACTATATTTATTTAAGTCATTGCGAACTTCACTATTGGAGCTGCAGTACGAATTATAAAACTTTCAGGTTTTCAGATTCTTGACAAAGTTTTATTCAAATCAAGATAGAATTTAGTTTTAGTATACTATGAAGTTGTATTGAATTTCACAGTTGAACTGGAAATTTAATCTAGTGGAGCAAAGCATCTTAAAACATTCAAAAGATTATAATAAACTCTAAAAGATATGGGAGAATTTTTTAAATTGGATGTTTGTTATATTGTAATCTTGTTTTGAAAGCTTTAAAAGACCACAGAGTGGGTTTCAGATGCAATAAATGTATGTTCCCACAGTGAAAGAGAATGAGTAGAACCCATCATGCATACCAAAAAGATAATAAAACAATATTCCTTGAATAAACTGGGATCTAAATGATGAAATTTGTATATGTATATAGTTTAATATAGTATTGTAGTCCCAAAGGTGCCTTTTCAAAAGGCAACTGGAAAGAAAATTCAGTTGCCTTTTGAAAAAAGCACCTTTGGGACAATCATGACCTGGATGACTGAGAATCTCCATACACATATAATATAGTAATGTAAAGTCTATAATATTCATAGATGAAGAATCACTCTGCAATAATAAAGGTATATGAATGTAAAGAAAAATATTTCTGGGGCATAAAATATGTATTAAAAATAAATATGCTGTTTTTAAAAAGCAATATGAATATGTTCTTCATATTCTGCCCCTAATTTAGGAATGACATAGATACAGTGTATATTATGAAAAAAAAAGCATAGTCCTTTATGTATGTTTTTTCTGATTAGAAATTGGGGATGATACATAACCTTTCTTTTCAGTTTTGGCTAGTTTATACTTCTTAATGGAATAAAGCAAAAAAAAATTTTTTTCTTCAGATTATGACCTTCCAATATTTGAAAAGTTTGTCAAAGGTGGAACTTATCCTCGGTATCATATTTCATACCAACATCAAGAATACAATGATGGTGAGTTGTGGGTCAGCTAACTTACCTGGTTTATATTTTTCTTCAAATTCTAGGTTTGTTTTACTTTAAATTAAGAGAGCGTTGTTTTTGTGTATTAATTTTGAATTTACAAATCTTTGGGTGGTGGTTGTTGTGGTTTTTTTTTGAACTAACATTTGTCAGCAGGACCTTTTTAGGGTTGTCTTAGAACAGCAGAATGAAACCTTTTACTTGTGACCACATACAGGCTGCTGCTAAATTTTTTACAGTTCCAGAGCATACGTGCCTTCCCTAAGATTGCCATTGCCAGTAAAATATCAGTTTTGGAGCAGCATAATATTTTCATTTAGAAACACAAGATAAAATTCAGAGTGGTTCTTTAAGCTTTTAGGAGGCTTAATGCATTTGTTCTTAGCAAAACTACTCCCAGAAGCTATCAACAGCCCCCCTCCCCCCTGGTCTCTTCTTCTCTTCTGCCATCACTTTATCGTATCACTGTTAGGCTGCCAACAACACTCAAAATAGGGAGGAAGGGAAGTGTGTTTACGAGACTCAGGATCTGTTTCACACAGTTGTGATAGCTTTTGAAATCGTATGAGAGGTGGTGCAAGGAGTTGTAAAAAAGTTGGAAAAATATCCTTCATTCAGCTGATTTGGATGCCTCATTGCCAGCCTCGGAGGCTTCATTTTGTCAAAAACACCCAAACATTGAGCTGGCAGCAATCTAGCATAATATAAATTTGATCACAAATGTTGATATTTAATTATTTGGGGAAACTTCCAGTTGATTCTTCAAGTTCTCAACATCCTAAAGAACACCCCCAAAATATTTCTTGTTTTACCTAAATGTGCCTTCCATTTATGGAAGAAAATGGAAAAGATGCAGATCTAACAGGGTCCACAATAAAAGAATGTCAACATATTTTCAGTGCTTTTCTTTGTAACTTCTAGTGACAAGGTTTATGTTGCTCTGGAAAGTTTTCCAGATTGTTAGAGCAGCTCTTCAGTAGAACCTTCTCATTTTCAGTGAGAAGGAACAATGTACTAGAGTACCTTCTTTGCTTCCTTCTAGAGCATTTCATAGTCGAGTTCAGTTCATGGCAGCTAATTTCAGTTCCATGTGAATGCGGTCTTTTCTTAAATTCACTATTTATAATAAACTCCTAGAGTTTCATCAAATATGGTATTTAAAAGACCAGCAAGGCTATTTACTTTTATATAGCTGAAATTATTATTTTCTCATCATCAGTAAAAAATATTACAGTATTATATTTTAAACCTTCTATGTTTAGAAAATTAAAATCTGTTTTCCAAGAAAAGGTGCTTTCTCTGGTCCTTTATAAAGGTATCTACTTTGGTTATCATATGTATTTCTTATTATCAAAGGACCTGAGAGTAATGTTTATTTATGATTGCCTCTCAGGTCTGTAACATATCTCCAGTTCTGTCTAGTGATCTTTACTGTCAAACAATGTACTGATAAACAGTGTGCTTCATAATACTACCATTATACTACCATCATAATATACTACCATTCCTAAGAGGTCTGTAACGGGCATGCATAAGTGCACCAATGTGCCTACCGTCCATGTCCTACTGTCACCATTTATTTGTATCCTTATCCTGTATTCATAATCATGTTTATACTTATATCTGTTATCTTATACATGTTTGACAAATAAATAAATAATAATAACTATGCTGTTGGATTTACTTATAATTTCTGCAGGTCGTAAAACTTTTCCAAGAGTTAGAAGGACCCAAGGAAACTGCTTACGCACTCCAGTAAGTTTCAGCCCAACTGATTATTCATTGAGCACAAGCAGTGGGAGCAGCATTTTCACTCCAGAATATGAAGATGGACGAATGCGGAGAAGAGGAAGTGATATAGAAAATCCTACCTTGACAGTAATGGACATCAGTCCTCCCAGCCGCTGTAAGGAGAAAAAATATATTGCCTTGTAATCCCTCATCTAAACTATAATTCAGTTGTTGAAATAGCTAGGTTTTATACACAACTGTGAGGAAAATAAATTATCAGAGGAATGGGAGCGTATCAGAAGAATAGACTAAAAACAGAAAATCTGGCATACAGAACTGAAGGGGGCTTTGAAGTGTGTAGTCCACAGAAAGCTTTATCAGGAAATTCCTATGGCAACCTACTACACATGTTTCTTTTACTACGAATAATTCTTTTTTGAAGATAGTAACAGTAGAAGGGCAGAAAATAACTTGAAATCTATTCATTGTTAATATGTGTGCTTGCATTTTGTGTGTGCGTGTGTGTGAATTTTGGACAAAACTCTCGCATTACATACTAATAACACTACAAACTTATCAAAAACAGGAATTGAAGTCTATTCAAAGGGTAAATGTTTATATTTTAAAATAGAATAAAATATGCTGATTTGGGAGCTTTTTTGAACAGTATCAGAAAGGTGTTGGTCTGCTTTTCCCTTGTATACTTTGATATATCAGACTTATCACATTTTGTTGCAGCCCCGCGTGCTCCAACTAATTGGGTACTTGGTAAACCGCTTGGCCAAGGTGCATTTGGTAGAGTTTATCTATGCTATGATGCAGACACAGGACGAGAACTAGCTGTTAAACAAGTTGAGTTTGATCCTGACAGTCCAGAGACGAGTAAGGTAAGAATTTGGGAAGGAAGTATCCTCTCTCAGCCTTTCTGATATGTACATATACAACGGTTAAAATAAATTGAACTTATTTTTTTAGAATCATGCTTTTTAAAAAAATATTAGCAAAATCAAAAAAAGCTGAAGAAAGTTGTTATGGAATCTGAATATTACACTAATGTCACTGAAAGATTTATGTTATTTATATGTGGAATCTGTGACTTTTGGCTTTTTTTCCATGGTGAAACACTCTTGACATGAGTTGGTATCTTCTTGTTTAGTTTAGGATTTTTTTTCTAATTTATCCTCCATTTCTTTTCAAAACGTTAGGAGTCCTTTCGGAGCAAACTTTTAAGAGTGCACCATCCTCCATAGTCAATGAGGGAAGGGGAATTGTCCTTCCCATTCTAGGAATTGAAACTACTGTCATATGGAAATAATTATAAGATTCTCCTCTTTAAAAATGAAGACATGGGGATAATGGAAGGTTTAAATATTAAGCTGTACAATGTACAGTACATCATTAAGTCTCTTCTCTAAGAATTTCAAATATTTAGAAATTTCCTATTAATGTAAGTTAATTATTAATAGTTTTCTTGTTACTTATGAATACAGAATTGGAGTCTTTCACATGTGCTCAAATATAGTGGACCATTTTGTTTTTAACACAGTGTACTTCAAACTAATGTGCTGCTGAAAGAAAAAATGAACTAGAAAATTAAATGAATGACAATTGTAAAGTGCATTTTCATTACTTTGTGATAATTCAAACATGTAATTTTGGATTCAGTACTAAGAATATAAACTACAGAGGACATTGAAACCAACAGTATTACCAATAACATTTAGGAATTAAAATTCATATTTCGTTCAGTAATTTGATCATTGTTTTAAATAAGAACAGATAATTCAAACATATTGCTTAATGCATTGTAAGCCGCCCTGAGTGTCCGGAGAAGGGCGGCATATAAATTAAAGCAAAAAAAAAAACAACAACCAAGGTCTTCTGAGAACCACTGCTATGCAATTCTTATTGCAATTTATAGGAGCATTGCAGATTCTGAAGTGTTCATTTAATTATGAAAACAGTAAAGCAGCTAAAATGGTTTGTAGTGATTAATAATAATGAGCTAGTAATAATGATTTTTAAATTATTCAGTTTAAATTAAAAAAAAACCTGAATCAAGTATTTTTGGTATGATTTAGTGCTAGAAATTTGCTCTTATTCTATTATGTTACTTTTAGGAAGTAAATGCCCTTGAATGTGAGATTCAGCTTCTGAAAAATCTGCTACATGAAAGAATTGTTCAGTATTATGGCTGCTTAAGGGACCATCCAGAAGGAACACTTTCTATATTCATGGAATATATGCCAGGGGTAAGCCACTGACCCATTGGGAGATAGTAAATTTCTGTAGTGTGTGTGTGCCCATATATAAAAATCAAGTCTGCAAATGGAGTGACGTATAAGATACAGTATACCATCAATCTGAAAAGAACGCTTTTGTACTAAATTTCTATAAATATCTTCTGTTTTTCATTAGCATCTACAAACCAACATTTCTGAAATCCCGCAAAGTGTTTTTGCTATCTGCATTTTGCTCTTTACATATCTATTGTCTAACAAGATGCATATTTAATTATTGAATTTTATTCCCACATAAATGTGAAGCACCATATTAAATATTTCTGTCCAGAATCACCTTTAATCTTTCAGCAATTATCGACATAAATAATTTATAATCAGAATTCAATAGAGAGGCCTGTAATTTTGTATTAATTGTTGATCAGAATCCTCCTTATGAATCAGTGTAATTAGTGTAACTAAAGAAATTAAGGGGAAAGAAGAATCAAAGTACTATAAGGTATGGAGTAGATGGTATGAATGGTTGAAAAATAAGGAAACAAGATAAATGAATGAAGAAAGGAGGGGGAAAATGTGTACGACCAATTGATAGGATAGAAGGAATGACAGAAAGCAGAAAATGAACGTCAAATAAGTTAATATTAAAATATTTGTAAATATTGATGTATAGAAAGAATGGACCGCTGCACCTAACTGAAAAGAAAAGTGATATTAATTTTTTTAAAAATTTTTTTTATTATTCTATAAATGATGTATGTCTATGTTTGGTTTTTAATGTGTTTAAAATAAAAAACTTTTTTTAAAAAAATAAATATTTCTGTCTTGGTGAAAGTAAGCTTGGCTGATAGTAGGTTAAGGGCATATCTGAAGCTTAAAAGAAATTAACATGATCAAACAAAACAAATAATTTTAAGTTAACTATTATTCTTTTTAATATTATAAACAAGTTCGGTACTTGTAGCATTCTGTTATCTTTCTAGCCTAAATCAAAAGATATACTTTCCAGAAAGAATCTGGATTTAAAGTTTAAATCCTATTTTCCCTAAATTGAAGTTGCACACTTGGTGGGCTGGATTTAGTGCTATGCAAGTTAAAGTGAGATGGAGAAAGATTTCCAAGACCAGTTTGCTCTAGTGGTTAAGGCTCCAAGCTAGAAAGTAAGAGACTGTGAGTTCAAGACGAGCCTTAACCGTGAAAGCCAGCTGGGTGACTTTGGGCCAGTCATTTTTTATCTTAGCCCAACTGACCTCAAAGGGTTGTTGTAGGGAAAATAGAAAATAGAAAGAGGTGAAGATGTGTTGGATATGTTTGCTGCCTTGAGTTATTTGTAAAAATAATAGGCAGGATACAAATAAATAAAAATAACTGCATTTGTGGATTCAATCAGTGTTTTAAGTGCTATAACTTTTATATGGTGGATTTCTAGAAAACTTCTTTTAAGACCTTTTACTATAGCAAGTTTCTTTCATTGTAGGGCTCAATTAAAGATCAGTTGAAGGCATATGGTGCTCTCACAGAGAATGTGACTCGGAAGTATACTCGCCAGATCCTGGAAGGAGTTCATTATTTGCACAGTAACATGATTGTACATAGGGATATTAAAGGTACTGATGGGGGCATTGTTATAAATTTGCTTGGTGAATTGTAAATATTTTTTCCTAAATCTTGAAGAGTTTGTTTCCTTTTTCTCCTGGTATACTACTGAAAATAGCATTTTATTGAAGACCTTTCCTGCACTTTTCCAAAATTTAATAAGTAGATGTTTCAAGTGAGTGTGATAGAAAAATTGTACAACAATTTTTCAATTGTTGTAACAATACAATACAATACAATACAATACAATACAATACAATACAATACAATTGTAATATTATAATGTAATATTGGTTAACAGGCAGCAAGCCCGACTCCATTTGGTTAAAGTGATAGTTACTTTTACTAAGGATTACTGGTTGCAGTGTTCCCCACTCCCATTGGCCAGACCATCCAATAGCATCCTGGTGCAATCTTTTGGAAACTGATTTGATGCCAGGCGGATCTTGAAACAGCTGCACATTCTTTCCCAGGCCAGGTGTCCTTGGCCATCTGGATTAGTCTGATTTTCACACGTCTGGTTTCTATCAGTGCCATTCCCTCCCCTCTTTACCCCCTTTTACTTCCTCCTGCACTTTTTCCCCAAATGGCTATTCCCCCTCCTCCCCATTGATGGCAGGATGCCAACAACTTAGTGGAGCATAGCAAAGTTGGCAGAGCTGACAGCTGTGATGGGGGCCTGGAAAGTTTTGTCCAACTATGACTGGAATACAAGTTGCAACTGTACATGAAATGGGACCAATAAAATACTTCAATAATACTTTTTTATGAAGATAAATGAGGGAGGAAAGGAAACACATTAGACTTGCAAGACTATATTATGGTAGCTGTTCTAATAAAAGTAGCTTTAGGTCTACTCAGTGTCTGTTGCTTGGTCTTACCCACCTTGTAACCCTTATCCTGAAAAATTCAAGCCACCCCATTTGATTAGTTTTGGTACATTTTAAACTCCTATTTAAGAAGGTATTTGAAATTAGAAAGAGCCATCTTTTTTTGTTTGCTAATATTGAAACAGTTTTTTTTATGTTGTGATTTTAATTTTGATCAGTTGTACCATGGATGTTTTATAGCAAATTACTTATTATTCACTGACAGTCAATTGATGGCCTGAGGTAAAGTTTAATAAATAACTAGGGGGTCAGTGAAGAGTCAATGCATAGATCTAATGCTCATGTCGATTATTACCTGCCAACAACTGGTATTTTCTGGATTAATAGAAGCTTCTGAATGATCTTCAATGGCAGCTCCATGTAGATCACATTACAGTGTTCCAGATAAATGATAATGTGGGTATTAGTCACCGTTTAGACTGGTATTTGAGGTGTCAGAGTTGAAGAAATGTCTGGGCTTTCAGATTTTGAATGGGCTCTTTAACAACTCAGGGGAAAGATTGCCCACTATTATTCCTTGATGTCAAAGTTTAATTTCTTGTTTAATAGTTGAGCTCAAATTAAAAGTATATATATACAATTTTATATGATTTGTTCATATTTATTTCAGATACCAACTGAATTATTCAGTCTGCCTATAGTATTTTTGTACACTAAATTACAGTAACAATTAAACAAAAATTGTACTTATTTTTTGTGTTGTTCTACTTGCCCTATATGATTACACAGCAATAGCTGTTATTAATCTAAAGCAGGAACAATTACATAATTTGTTTATATTTCTTTCAGGAGCAAATATTCTTCGTGACTCTGCAGGCAATGTTAAGTTGGGTGATTTTGGTGCCAGCAAACGGCTTCAAACAATTTGTCTATCTGGTACGGGAATGAAGTCTGCTACAGGAACTCCGTACTGGATGAGTCCAGAAGTGATTAGTGGGGAAGGATATGGAAGAAAAGCAGATATTTGGCAAGTCTTATATTATTTTTCACCTGGAACAAATTGGAAATAATTTCTTGCACACTATTTTGGAAGCCCTTAAATGTATCCGCAATGCTGCATTAAGATTACGTCTGGGACTGATAACAGTGGAGACCAGAATTTGGTTTATGAAAATTATGGTTTATGGTTCAACTTCAGGTTGAAATATCAACAGTATGGTTTTATCCCTAATTTGTGCATGATAAACACTCAAATTTAGTAGAGCTGTAGAGCAGAAAATGCCTAATATAGGTTTAAATCCTTAACTACCATTGAACTTTTTAAGGCAAAGAAAAATGTTAAACAATATCTCTAGGACATTGCCATCCAAAGTGATAGAGAAGTTAGAGAAAGAACTTTAATCATTGGCAATTTAGAAAGTCTCCATAAGTTGACAAACAATCTCTGTAGGTTTATCTAAGCCAAACTGAGGAGTGCATTTACACTAGGTTGTTTTATGTGATGTCCACAACAGTTTTATGGAGTCGTCATGCGGGCATTCCCTTCTCTAAACAGCTCGTGTTCTAGAGAGTAGAAAATACTGCCCGTGCCATTTTATAGGAATGCCCATTAGTCATAATTGTTACACCAATTTTACTACCTTATCTAGCTAAGTCTGCTTCCTTCTATAGTTTTTCATTACTGGCTGATAGAAACCATGAAACAAACTTCAGGTTGCAAAATCTGTATGCCTTATGAGAAAAAGAAGTGGCATAGCCTTTGATGCAGGATTATTACCTTAAAGAAAATAGGATAATATGGGTTTCAAAGAAATAATAGTCTGTTACTAACAATTTTTTCAGACATAAATGTTCTTATTACCTTGCAGTGTATGTCTTTTCTACTGTAAATTCTGAAGAAGCTGTTTTTATGGCATGTGTTCAGTAGTAAAATTATATTTCAGTCATTGGAGCTTTAGAACAAACTCAAAATAGAGCAGTCAGTATTTAAATTCACTTTTGTTTTCGCTGCCTCCTTCCAGTAGAAACATATGAACTTGGTAACATTGAAAGAGCAAATCTGTCTCTACCCAAATGAAATCTTAACAGAAACTAATATAGAGATATAAAAAGCTTTTCTTTTGATGGGAACATATATTATGCTTTGATTATCTTTTCCAGATAGTTTTCTTAATTTTAATTTGCTTTTCATTCTTGTTGCAGGAGTGTAGGCTGTACAGTTGTTGAAATGCTCACTGAGAAGCCACCCTGGGCAGAATTTGAAGCAATGGCTGCCATTTTTAAAATTGCCACACAGCCAACCAATCCCCAGCTGCCACCGCACGTCTCAGACCATGGTCGGGATTTTCTAAAGCGGATATTTACTGAGGCTAAGTTGCGACCATCTGCAGATGAACTTCTGAGACATACATTTGCACATTATCACTGATGGCCTGCCTCAATCCCTCTCACCTACTGCATTTTTTACTGCACTTTTTTTTATACAGAGTTGAAAAAAGACAAGGGAGAAGTTATTTCTCTTGATTCTTTCTTTCATATAAAATTGTTAAGATCTCTCTGCATATTTAGAATGCAGACTTTTTCCCATTTAGAATCTCCTTTGTTTCAGTAATGTACTGATGTGGTTTGCATAAAGCACTTTAGTACATATTCATTCCTTATTTAAGGGGGTAAAGAATTTATTTGGACCATCAGGAATCATGTATAAGATTGTCCCCATCCCTGTTCCCTTGGCAAGCACTGCTAATTAACTCCCAAGACTGGGAAGGTATACATGTCACTAGCAGATTCAGAAAAACAGTATATATATCCAGTGGTTGCAGTGTATAAATAGATAACAAAGAGCTCTCAATTATATTTGAGCTTTGAAATAAGTTTCATCTGTGATTCTGGAAATTCATTTAGAAGCTAGAATCTCAGGTTGCTGAGCAAGGTACATTTTGGAAAACAAACCATCATATTAGCACAAAAATGTAAACCAAATAAGTGTTTTCTGCTTTGAAGATAAGAAGCCTGTTGTTTAATAGTGCTAGTGCATTAATGTCGTATATCCAGAATCATAGATAAACAGATTGTTGTAGTACCAGACTTCTCTAAAGTTAAACAATGTCCACATATCATGCAACAAACTGATTTTCAGGTTAGAAATAGTTGATCTGTGAGGAGTCTCTAATGGGTAGAATGAAGTTTATTTTCTGCTCATATTAATTAAGAATACTTTCCATATTCTTTCTTCTGTCACAATTATTCTTCCGGTTCCCTAAAATATTTTATAAGGCCCAGGTTTTTTTCTCTCTACTGTGAGTTTTATCATAAAGTACTTAAGGTAGAATGGGCAGGAGTGACAAAAATATAGTTTCTCTTTCTGTTGCTGCTGAACTGAATTCTGTGTCTGAGATGCATATTTTATTTGTCAAACCACCTTTGCTTAATCTGACTAATTTGCGCTGGGTTGACTGTGCAGAATTAACTTTGTGGGTTGCAAATGCCTTATTAATTTGCATTGAAAAAGCAAGTTTGGTAGAATGAAATCTGGAAGTTCCCATGTGTATCTATACCATATAATTCAGTTGCAGCTGAAGAAGAAGGAATACATTATACAGATAGGGGGGAAAAAGTCCTTTTCACTCCCATTTTTTTAAAATTTATTTATTTAGATGTTTTACTTTTGATTTAAATAATAATAAAGGAATAATTAGATTTGGGATTATTATCCCAATTGTTTCAACCCATATTTGGACATGTATTAACATTAGAACTGTAGAATGTATGTTTGTTGACTGGCCCTTTAGGATATGTCTAGCACCAAACAATAAAAGTAACTGGAAAATGGGAAAGATGCTTCCATTTTCCAGAAGTGGTGTTGTAAACAGTACTATTAATTATTTTCTAGGCTTTCTGCAAAATGTCCAAAGCAAGTCAAATTATATGAAGATAAATATATACTATGATGATGCTATTAAACCTGACTAACAATTACATATAAAACATAAGTTACATAAGTAAGAATCATAAATCACATATACAATATACAATATAAAGGTGCATATGTGATTTATGATTCATACTTACAAAATGCTCCTGGCACCTTAATCATAACTTGGTAACCTGAGTTTACAGTCTTTATTTATTGTTAAAATAAGTTCAGATAGATAAAGCTGTACTTCTGGAAACTATTTCTTAGACATGCTGAAGAGAAGTAGGCAGCTCTGATCCATATAGTCTTTCCCCAACTAAAATGTAATTTCAACAGCAGATCATCAATAAATAGAAATGTATTTTTTCCATTTTTTATAGAACTAGGGAAATCTTTTAATCTTAATATCCCAAAACCGACAACCACCAAAGAATTGTACAAATAATAATCCTAGCGTTATACATTTTGGTGATGTTGCTGCCCTGTTGATTGCAGCAATAAGCTGCAGCCATTAAATATGGCTTTTGTTATTGGAAGTTGACCATATGTTGTTAAGAGTACATGGAACATTGCTTATGCATTAGTCTATAGTTGTAAGAGAATTTAAATTGGAGAAGCAAATGTGGCTTGAACAAAATTGACAGCAAATCCTCTAAAAAAATAATACAACCTATTAATTGTTTTCTAAGGGACTTAATTTTTGACTTTTGAAAATAACAGAAATGCTTCTATAAAGAGGTCAGGATTATTTTTCTAAAGGTGTGCTTAAAATTTACCATAACATGGAAAAAGGAATCATCATTGTCACGATTCCTTTCCTGTAACCCTTGAGTCTGTTATGGTTCTGTACAGAGCTGTGTTATCCTATATCTGAGTACAGGCTGTCTTTTTCTGGTCCCTGTAAGGAAACACTGTAAGATTCTGAATTTGCTAAACTTCCATCAGGCTGTAGCTATGCAAATTATGTAAAACATGAAAATGTGCATCATTTGGTCCCAAGTAGACTAAAAGGAGAGACCACAAGAGAAGTCCTCCCCCCACATTTATCAAGGTGTATATGTATATTTAATAGTTTTATCAAAATTCTGTGCTCTGCTCAATTAACAGGGCTTTGAAATGTTTAAAATCTAGCAGTCAGACAATCATTGCAGCCTCTGAGTGACCTCTGACAGCGCTGTTGCACCAGTTCAAAATTGTTGAATGAAAATATTTGCTCGTGTAGACTATTTTGAAGACCAGGTTTAATGAATCTTCCACTTATTTCAGAAGGTACTATCTAAAGCAACAATCCTAAATGCATTAAGGAATACTTTACACTGAATACAGGGATATTTTTTTCTTTTTAGCAAATATGCATAGGATTAAGGTGTTGGATTTTTTTCCTCCAAATCTGAAACAGAGCCTTAAATTATTTTTTGCAGGGAGACAGGAATCAAACTCCATCCAGAAATTTCTAGATTTTAAATGGCAGAAATTTCTGCCATTTAAATGGCAACACTAATCAGCTATACTTTTAAACAAATTTACAAAGTCCTGTTTCAGCTGTAAAACATGAACTTGATACTGTTGGAATAGAATCACTGGTTGCCTCTCCTTGCTCTTTCACTATGTAAGTAACAGCCTGTTTATGGTGCTTTTCTGCTATAATTTGATCTCTCTTGGATTGGCTTTATCCCACCATGCCTTTTTGGAATTTAGAAGCTTAGGGGAGTGAGTTCTTAAAATTATACTAGGGCAGTGAGGACGATGGGCTCAGCATGCCAAAAATTCAGAAAATGCCAACATTGACTTTGCTGGCATATCACATTCCGCCCCTCCCCCAGTCAAAGAGGCCTGTCTTGACTCCCTTCTAGATTCTCCTCATTCTGTGGAAGACACATAAAAGAGCCCTGCTCTTGGAGGGCCTCTGAAGCTTCAGAAAAATCACCCGAGAGCATTCTTGTGAGATTTTCTGAGTCTCCAGAGGCCCTCCAAGAGCAGGATCTTCTTATGCAACTCCTAGAGGGTCTGGAGACCTGATGTATCACCAAAAATGACATGGCATATCATAGGTTAGGTATCGTACTAAGGTCTTTTAGGAGTCTGGCACAGTGCTAACCTGATTATCAACAGGTCTGATGTTCACATGATGTATGATACTGTGCTAACAACTGGGACAGAAGGTAAATGTGATTATGTAGGAAGTGTTGACTTCTTGTCCCTGATTTGGGGTGTGAAATATGTTTTTTATACAAAATAGTAAGTGCTGACATCAACTGAACTTTGGAGAAGGCTTGTTTCTTTTATCATTTTATTAATCAAATGCATAAGAATAGCTCATGAATTTGTGAATCCTCGAAAGAGAAGTAATGTGAAATTTGCAAAATTCTGCAGCTCTAAAATGTTTAAAAGTAATAAGGTCTTTAAAATGGCTTTAATTCTATGGAGTAAACAGGTATGAGAGCACTCAGTATTACGTGAAGGAATAAAAAAAGATATTAGATGGCTTAAATTCATGTAGAACAAGAAATGTAAGAGTGAGGCAATACTTTTTGCTAATAAATTAGAAAAAAACCCAGAAATTTAGGCAATTAGAATTTAATATACTCTGAACAGGAGTAATTTTGTGATCAAGTTGTTTGAATATGGATGAGTGTAGGAGTTGCTTTAGGTAAAAAAAAATGGTGATACAATAGCCCTTTGCCTTTCTAAAGTTATGTGCAATTTAAAATATATTCCTTATCAAAATATCTGAATTATAAGATTTATTTTGCTGTGTATATTTTACATATAATTTCTATACAGAACAATTTACAATGACCCTAAACCTATATTTTAAGTGTGTTTATATTTGAAGTAGCATGGGATATTTCTATCCATGCTATTTTTATTCTAGGGAGCTAAAGATACACTAGGGACTCATAAAATGCAGGACATTTCCATTTTATTTTGTGCTTTATATAAACATTTAAACTTTAGTCTGAGTACTTCTATTACCCAAAGGTAATAATGTGATCTTCAAAGATAATGTCTAGTGCAGGTTAAGAATTAGAAAATCTTGTAATGTCCAAAGAAGTATCTTGAAAGTAGGCAGAGTCCAAAATTGTAGATCACTTGCCAGATTGCAGGGCACTTTGTGCTGCTGAAATCCGTAGTGTGGCTGAGGGAGAAAGAGAGAGAGAGAGAGAAAAAAAAAACCCAACAGAGTCAGAATGATAGCTGTGCCTTCTTTTAATATTGTGTTTTGTCTTGACAATGACAATATAAAAGTGCTTCAAAAAAAGATGAATATAAAGAGGATTCCCAAACACTTCTAAAACCAGCTGTAGTGGAGGGAGGTAGCTCAGTTACTAATGGTTACCCTTAAGCCACAAGGGTCAGTTCCCAGCAATTTGGCATGTAGTTATTGAAGTACACACCCAGTTTTGGTATGAATTTGTAATTAAAAGTTTACAAAGCAAAACAAAAAGCATAGTGATTGACAGCAAACTTGCTGTTACAATTCAAGCCAAATTTTGATAGTTTTCATTACATTTTCCTTGGATTTCATCAAATGAGGCTGGGGACAGTTTATGTGATTATAGGCAAAAGTCTCCTAACTAGAAACTTTTAATAAGTATATCAATGTAGCTAGAAAGAAAACACTAATATAAAGATACTTATGTTTCTAAATATCTAAGGTGATATTTAGAATCCTTCAAAGCTTGCCAATACAAATTGTGTCTGTTGACAGTGATTTGTAACATTGTTTTTTAGTCTTAGAATTTCAAAAGTATAAACATATAATAAGATCATGAAACAAAAGCTTGCTTTCTCATAAATATTATTTAATGATATTTCAAAGTCTATATATTCTTTATATTATTAAAATGATTATGAGAAAATGGTATGGGAATATGTCACGTTCAAATGAATGTGACATAAAATGAAACTGGAAACACTAAAGGGAAAATTTGATATCCCTCAGAGCTGAGTAGACATAAACTACATATAGCACATAACCATGTCTTTATTTGTCTTAAAAATGAAGACAAATGCATAGCTGGCTTTTCTACTACATGAAAAATAATTCAGTATATTATTTTTCAGCCCATTTGTGCAAGATTTAATGTGTGTCCAACTGCATTAGAAATCATTTCTGAAACTGCAGATGGTTCAAACCCAGGTGTGAAGCATAACTAAAATTCAGAAAGAAAAATGCAGGGTCATACTTAGATGCTATGTTTCTGGGTATAATCCTGAATAGTTGTGCCAATCATAAATCCAAATATTCATTTCTTTCTTTCCATATATGACATGGGGCACCCATCAAAGGTAGATCTTTGAGCACTAGCTTCCTAGCAGCCATAGATACACGTAGCACGTACCAAGCATTTTTCTAAATCACAAATTAAATTAAGCATTTTAATGTGGTGAATTTATTTGTATTTTACATCTTGAAACCTGATATTTTTCATGAATTTGAAAGTGACAGGGAAGCTTGGCATGAAGTCTGACCAGTACCTTCAGATATATAGGATTTAGATTAGGAAAATAGATGTTTGGTTAAATTAGAAAGCCTAAAATCTATAAAAAAAAGATAATGATGGTCTCCCTGATGAAATTTTAATTTTTAGAGTAAGATTTACTCCTTAATTTTTAAGAAGTATGGATTACACACATTGGATTAAAGTGTTCTTGTTATACTAACAAAGCATTCAAAGACATCTGAGTGCCTTTATCTTTATGCCTTAAGTTTATTTTCTTAGCATATTGATTACAGAAAAGGTTCAAATCATATAGGACCACTTACTAAGTAGCATAATAAATTTTCCTTTTCCTTTTTAAATTAATTAGGGAGTATTTGCAACAATAATTTTTATCAGAGTTATAACTATATATAGACTTGGAAGCCTTGCTTTTAAAAATATTGATAGTATGTTAAACCTTTATCCAACCAAGTATGTTATTAGTTTTAAACTAAGCTGTTAAAAATATTCCAAGTTCACTAATTTCAAATAGAGATGTTAATAGCACTTAAACTTAGATATGATTATATTCTTTATTCTTAACCCTAGAACTGGTAAATTCTGCAATAAGGAAGTTCTAATAAATGCAAATTATTTAATTCTAAAATAATCAGCAGCTCAAGTGAACTGAGAATGATTTTAGTGGTGCTTTCTTTTAAGAAAGTATTTGCTTAAAGCAAGCGACAGTATTGGTTTTGAATAGGAACATCAGATGTGATTTCAAATAAGTATTTGTATTCTATTAATGCCATGTAGCTTTAATAAGGACAAATCTTGTTCCTGCCATTGTCCAGATTTAATGTAGAATTCAGTAACACTTTCAACCAACTGTGCAGCAGTGTCAGACATTTAAAAAAATTGATCAAAAATATTCTAATATATTTGTTGATTTTTTTTTAATTGAAATTTATTGCACCTATAGAGAAGTACAGACTTTTACGCTTGAATGTATATCTCTAAGGTGAGGGTTTTTTTTAAAAGTATTACTGTCAACATACCAGTACAGGTTTGTTTGTGTACTTATGTATATGTTAGTAAATTACTGAAAACCAAAGCTTTTATACTTATTAGGTACAGCCAAAAGCACTATTTATCTAGTTTAGTGGCTGTTAGCAACTTTCCTGTGATTTCTAAGTTGTGCTGGATATATTTATTACTATGGCTCTCCCAGACACACATGCAATCCAAGTGGTTCCTTGAGCAGTAATATCCTACAATTATACCCACCATGCTTTTGGATATTTAAAAATGTTCTGGGGTCATAAAATGCAGTCTTTTTGGAATCAAAGCCTTACAATCCCGGGTACTACTAGTTATATACTATTTTGGGAGCTAACTCGAGCTAACTCTAGTTCAGTGTTAAATATGTAGATTCCAATTGAAACGAGAGAGAGAGAGAGAGAGAGAGAGAGAGAGAGAGAGAGAGAGGGAGGATCTGGTACAGAAAATAAAGTAGATGTATCCCTTAAGGGAAAATGAAGGTACTTATCCAAAATCTAGCTTTATATGGAAAGTAGAAAAATTAGCTCAGAATGAAAAATGCTGCAGTTATAATATAGACTAAAATTTCATCCAAAGCCTTTTCAAAAGTAAAGAAATATTTTTAATGAATTTAAACATTGGCTTAAATATATTGTATTTGTCATTGGCCTTTGAACTGTGGAGTTATATTTTATAATGGATATATTGAGTATATCCTAAATATACCTACTATGTTAGATTGTACTTGCGGATGATATATAGGCCCTATCAGAACAATCTTTGGTTTCATCATTTCTCTAGGGCAAATTATTCTCATATCATCCATTATACTAATCAGACCTTTGGACATATTCTGTAGCAGATAGTGAAGACCATTACTATTTGGATGGTATACTTGAAATGGTGCAATATTCACACAGCTGTGATCGTGCCGATTCCCCTTTGATCATGTGAAAATAGTCATACAGCTGCAGAGAAATGTGTACCTGGCAAATGATCCTGTATATGAGCACAGCAACTCTATTTTAATTATTATAATTACAAAATGAAATGGAAATGTTGCAGACTATATCAACCATGAAGTTGAGCATTTGGCTTATGCAGAAGGAATTTTGAATGCAAGTATCTATCCAAGCAAGTGTGTTAATTATAATAATGATTTTCCAAATTTCCCAGTCTTAATTTGGAAAACAAATTCTCCTTAGTGAAAGAAATCTAATAAGCAGTCCTTATAATACCATTTTTAACATACAGTATGCTGCCTTAGAAAAGAAAGAAGATTATTTTTATTATCTGTGAGGATAATTATCTAAACCTCAGCATCTTTTATAAGAGAGGCTGGAGCCAGGTTCTTTGTCAGGCTGTACAGTGTAAAGTCAATGACTGCTTTGATTATATTATGCCATTCTTAATAGATGGATAGTAGATGAAACCAAATGGAAATTTTAAAAATCCCATATAGAACAGTATTTTGTCACAGCTCAAGAGAACTTATCTTGACAACTTGATAGCAAATTCACAAACTTCATAAACATGAAAAAGGAGGATTGTATTTAATTTGTTTGTGTGTAGCTCCTAAAATCGACACATTGAAGGCAAAATCCCAATGAAATCTCAATTTAGGACAGAAGCTTACTTTTATTGTTAATTTGGGTTTAACAATGCGCATAATTATTGCTGTGGCAAGGAATGTGAAATGACTTTAAATTAAATGTATTTCTTTGAGAGGAACAAAAAGACTGATCTACAGGCATGGGGAGATTATGCCTAGATTCCTGCATGGGGAGGGGGTTGGATTAAATGGTCTCCAAGGTCTCTCTTTTCTGTGATCTGATTTCTTTCTCCATTAACATTTTACCATATTCTATCTGACCTTGTTCTTGAGGAGTCCCTGTTTTGAAGGTCTATATTTGAGGAGACACAAGGGCTGCAGCATAAGAAGAAAGTGGGAATGTCTTCCTTTGTGAACAGAGGTCTCTGATTGACCTGACAAATATACCAGGCATAAAAGGTCAAATTGTAGGAATTTACAATAAGGAGAGAATATTGGCCTAGCATCAAAGTCGTTTTAAAATTATACAGGGTAAACGTTAAAGTTTTCATTCAAGTACTTTATATTTTTCATTTGGATTGTTTTTTGGCCATTACTTTATTTATTTTGCTAATTTTAATTTTTGCTACATTCTGCCTAGAAAATATTTATTCTAAAAGACAATTTATCTTTAAAAATAAACTATGTATTTTGTTTCTTATTCTGCCCTTTTCCCTCCTATGGGTGGGCATCACACATGTTAGATTAAAGTGGGTTAGAGATGGATTGTAGTTTCCATCTAAGTATTTCTGTACTATCTTTTCCCCTCGGTATAAATAATCAAATATTATTCTATTCTGAAAATAAGTTTACAGCTTAAGGGGAAAAGGAGACTTAGTATAATGAGCCAAAGTATTCCTTGTGCCATAGCAAATTAAAACATTGCACATACTCAGTCTCATCATTCCAAACAATTTAGAGCCATAGTCTCTTTGGTGTCTTAGGACAATGAATATTAAAGACAGGCAAGCAAGTGGGCAAACCTGAGGTTTCAGAGCGACTGGAATCTTAGAAGCATTTTTATCTTGAAAGTGCAAACTTTTCATATCTCAAACAAGAATGTACATAGCAAACCTATTACATTCCTTTGGGAATAGGTGGGGAATTATATAAATGCTCTCTAGTACAGGTTTTTTTTTCTGTTTCTCCCCTTAAATTAAACACACAAAAGCTAATAATTTCTCCAATGGTGTTTCATTGTGACAGTCAAACTTAAATGATTGACTTACAAGGGAGAGGTTACTGGGTGTTAACAATCTGCTATGGGGGACAATTACAATTACTTTCCTACAAAGTTTACTGGGTCTGTATTCTGAGAAACCTCAAAAATGAAATGGTGTCAATAATGGGAATATTCAGAGTTAACGTGTTTAGAATTATTCAATTTTATTAACTTCACATACAATCTATCCCCATGCAACCCCACACATGTATGCACATGTGCACCCAACAGGCACATAATCAGTTTTTAAAAATATATAATGCTTTCTTTTGGAACAGGGTCTAAAAGCTCAATTTCACGTTGCTTGCTTTTTCTATGATTGTTTTGCTAATATCACCAGTTTAAAACTTGATACTTTTAACTGTAAAAAAGAAATAGATTACCACAATTATGATACTGTCATACCTCTAGCAAGTGTCACTATATATGAGGAAGTCAGTGGCAGACTCATTTTTCAAAAAGCTATGAATAATAATATATAGATCTTATCCTTTTGATCTAATGTACATTTTTATGCAGCTGTCAATTTCTCTATTTAATCCCTTTATTTCTCTAAATGTTTTTACTCTCTGTTTGAATGCTGGGCACCGTTTGTAACGTATGTACACAATGGTATTTTTTTCTATCGATGTTGACTCTTTTGCACATTTTTTGAAAATGTTTAATTTGTACACTGATTTAATACTCTGACCAACTGTTATGGAGTGTATGCAAAAAATGTATGTGTGCAATGTACTACTGTCTTGAATGTATGAGGATTTTCTAATTCAGTATAAATGTATGTCAACTTCTGGCTTTATCTTGGTTGAGGAACTCAGGACATTAACATTGCTTACTAGTTCCCCATTGTAAATCTAATCCAGCAACTTGGTTGCATCTAAGCAGCTTATTCTCTCTCTTTTCCACACATGCACGCATACCCACATGCACACAAATCATTCCATTTGTGAACAGGAATTTTCCAGCTCACTTCATACTGTTGGAATATACCAATCAAATATTGGCAATAGATTGCAACATAATTGGTTTAAAATAGCAGTTAACTGAGTTTTCTCTTTCCTGTCTTTAATGTAAGTCTTTTCACATTCAGTTTTGAGTATTTGACCATTATTTGAGTGGAAAATTGGCCAAATGCCAAATAGTTTCACCTATGTGTGATGAGAGTGCATGCAAACTTTTCAGAAGTATGAAGCAACTAAGGAAACACTGCTTACATGAAACTTCATGCACTCATCAAAGCCTCGGTAAACTTTCTGTTGTGGCAAAGATGTCTAACTTTCAAAAATAAGGTATACAAAAATACCTTCAATGTACTGTGTTTTCTCTTTCCAACAGACTCCACAGATTCATTTCTACATTTTTAAATAATTCTTTTTTTAAAGGTACTGCATTTAGTTAGATAAATATATAAAAGCTTTGAAAGATAATTTACTAGATAAATATATTTTCAGCTGGCTGATGTTCAGAAAATATTTTTTTAATTTTTGTTTTTAACCATTCAAAATGTATTTGTATTTCCAGAATTGGACATGAATTGTATATTAAAACACTCTGGCTGGACAATGGTTTGGTTTGTCTTGTAAGGATTGTATCTCTCTCTCTTTCTCTCTCTTTTTTTTAAAAAAACCCTGAAAAGTGTTTCCTTGATACAGAGAATAGTAATACTGCTCTGCAAAGCTGAAAGCAATCTTTGAATTTATAGCTGCTTGAAAAAATTGAGACACATAACCAGTCTTAGAAAAGTCAGATGATGTTTTTATTGCCTGTTCCCTTTTGTTACAATGAATGTTATGTCTCCCTCTGGATTTTAAATCTTTCCTTGTTTTCTGGTACTGGGAAAATTAAAGCATATTGAGGGTACTACCAATGTTTAAATTTAAGTTGACAACCTAGTTTGAAAGAATCTTTGTATTAATGATTAAGACGTACCAACTATAAGGTTGGGAAATAGAGCACTGGGGATCTCAAGAATCGACATAAAACTGGTATTCTTTTTTTTAAAGAGTGTACTAATGGCCTGGTATGGTGTGGTTTATTCCATTGTTCATGCACATTAGGACTTCGTTATAGTGCTTGTACAAAATGTATAATTTTTAATTTTTTTTTAAAAGTATGTATTTATCCATTATTTTCCTGCTGGTAAATGGCTTTTTGTTTTATTTTGGGGTTTTTATCAAATATAAAGTAAGCCATGCTTTTATTATCTTGTGTTTGACCAAATGACTTTGTTTTATGAAATGTGTATTGCTGGTACACATCTTCGTTCAGAACGATTGTGCATGACAACCTGCAAGAATTAATACAAGAAAGATTTTTTTTCCTTCCATGTTATTTCATTCTGGAAAGGTTATGGTGCAAAGGTATACTGGATGTAACCTTATGAGCTTATGGAATGACTATAGATAATGGCACTTTTAAGTGTTAATAAAACAAATATTTATTTCCAATGTGTGTGTTCTATTTCAAAAAGTATGTGTTGATAATATTTAGAACTTATATAATGCTTTCATATACTGTGCCTGCATATTTCAAGAATTTTTATAAGTCTTGCAGATTAGTTTGCCTGCAGGTAAAAATGACAATTCAGAATGGATTATGAACATTAAGTGGATTTTGAATAATATTGTTTCTAAAGTGAGGTCCTATATAAATTGACTTGGCAATAAATTTCACTGATTCCAATTTGCCATACTTGGGTTTTAAATTAGTCTCAATAAATATGCTATACTATTCATTTAATATAGCACTTCTATATAAGGTGGTTTGCTGATATTATTAAAGTAACTATTTATGCAGGTAGTCCTAGACTTACAACTACTGCTTTTACAACCATTTGGAGTTATGAAGGCCTTTGAATGGGTGCTTTACTGTCTAAAATACAACATTATAAAATGTCACAACACACACACACGTTCCTGTAGTTACATAACTGCATATCAAGTGCTTAGCTGCTTGAAACATCCTGCAGTCACATGACTGCAAATTGTGACTTTTTTTGCTGGTTTCTAGCAAAAAATGCCCATTCAGAAAAATGGGCTCACCTAACAACTGCATGGTTCAGTTAATGACAGTTGTGAAAAATATTGAAAAAACAGGCCAATCCTCGACTTTATGACTCACAATCGGATTTCTGGTCTCAGCTGTCATAAATTAAGGGTTATCTACCGCACTTCTCTAAGCAACATACAAAAACAGTCTGATATACTTGGCTCTAACTGAAATGGTAGACCACTATTTTAAACTAAATTGCTAATTTCTGCTTTGTGTTAATAAAACAATTTTTATTCCTAGGCTAGAAGTCAATAATTCAAGATAAATGGTAGAGCAGCTTTTGAATTTGGTATTTAAGATGATTTAAAATAAATAGAATTCTTTATTGGCCAAGTGTGATTGGACACACAAGGAATTTGTCTTGGTGCATATGCTCTCAGTGTACATAAAAGAAAAGATACATTCGTCAAGAATCATAAGGTACAACACTTAATGATAGTCATAGGGTACAAATAAGCAATCAAATCATATTAGGAAACAGTCAATATAAATTGTAAGGATACCAGCAACAAGGTTACAGTCATACAGTCATAAGTGGGAGGAGATGGGTGATAGGAACGATGAGACGATTAATAGTAGTGCAGACTTAGTAAATAGTTCGACAGTGTTGAGGGAATTATTTGTTTAGCAGAGTGATGGCGTTCAGGAAAAAACTGTTCTTGTGCCTAGTAGTTCTGGTGCAGTGCTCTAGAGCATCGTTTTGAGGGTAGGAGTTGAATTAGTTTATGTCCAGGATACGAGGGGTCTGTAAATATTTTCACAACCATGTTTTTGACTCGTGCAGTATACAGGTCCTCAATGGAAGGCAGGTTGGTAGTAACTTTTTTCTGCAGTTCTAATTATCCTCTGAAGTCTGTGGCTGTCTTGTTGGGTTGCAGAACCAAACCAGACAGTTATAGAGATGCAGATGACAGACTCAATAATTCCTCTGTAGAACTGGATCAGCAGCTCCTTGGGCAGTTTGAGCTTTCTGAGTTGGCGCAGAAAGAACATTCTTTGTTGTGCTTTTTTGATGACGTTTTTGATGTTAGGTGTCCCTTTTAGGTCTTGAGATACGGTAGAACCTAGAAATTTGAAGGGCTCTACTGTTGTCTAGGTGGTAATAAAGTCCACCACCATTTCTACGGTTTTGAGTGTGTTCAGTTCCAGATTGTTCTGGTCACACCATGAGGCTAGTTGTTCAAGCTCCCGTCTAAAACATACTTCAAATTGTCTCCATATATTTGGGCTTGTGCAGACTTGAAGGCTTGCACTCACACAATTCAGTAAGTGTAAATTTAACCTTAGTTTGCTTTGTGTCTCAGTCTTATAGGCAAACCTATCTATTTATGGTTCAGTAAGTTTTGTGAATTCAGGTAAAGCATGCTGTATGAACTTGGGCTGTTCGGTGCCCAAGCAATACTGTGTATCCAATCTTTCTCCATTGTACTGTTGTTACTGTTAAATATATCACTTTGAAGCAAGCAACATCAAGCCAAATAAGCAAGACAGAAGAAACATGGTCTGAAGAATTCCAAGCGTCTTTGGGTAAATTTCGTTTTTTAAAAAACTTCATCTGGCAGCTGATGAGTGTAGCCTGGGACAGATCAATCCAAAGACCAGCTGAAGATGAGCTTCCCACTAAGTACCCCCATATTTCAGACACTACCTACTTTTCTGACCTGTTATTTTTGGTGAGGGATTTGGACTAGCAGGCACATTTACAAATTGGAGGTACAGCCAACTTTTAAAGAATTTTTACAGGGTCAAATGTATTCTTGGGACTAAGATTTTGTTTTGGATTAAACCAGATTCTTTAAATTTTTAAAAACAAACATAAAATAGTCCGAGAAATATCCTCAGCCACTAGAGACTTATACACCACAGATCTTATCATATGTGTTCCCTGCTCTGAATTCAGCCTCATTCTCATGATTCTCTTTTAACGTGATTTTTTTTTATTGTGGAAGGTCATTCTCTTTATTAAAATACTGAATTCTTCAAAATAATACCTGATGGAAAAATTCCGCATTTGTAGTTATCTCTATGCTGAAATGTGGATTAGATAGTGCTGAGTTACACCTGAATGTTGGAATCCTCTTCGAATTTGTCGAGAGCTACTCAGTGGAGACACAAAGTTGAAATATTCTCTTTATTGGTGATGGTGGGCGGGGGCTGGAGGAGAAAGAATAGACCACCTGCTCCAAGTCAACATTGTTAAGAGGAGATATTTCAGCTCTTCAGTGAAGAGACCCTAAATTACAGGGCTGATCTAAAAATAGCTTGTAGTAGTTTCATAATTGGTATTTGTTCTTCAAGAAGCAAAAAATCTCACCGAGCTGCTGGAGGCAGGAGTTGCTTCTTCTCCCCTCTTCTCCAGTTTCATGGCTCTTAAGTGTTGATTGTGAAAAGGTGAAGGAGCAAAACAAAAACAAAAAACCCCACTCACAACCATTAATTATGGTTGCAGTCCTACATCCATTTCCCACACAGCAATAGATCTCACTTAATAATAATAATAATAATAAAAAAAAGACCTTGCTGGAATGCGTCGACATTGCCAAGATTAAAAACGTTTCTACTGGAAGAAGGTTCCTGCAGACCTGCCCTTGAGGCTGTTGTTCTACAATAATACGGAAGCTATGCGGACACGTCTTCCGTCGTTTGGGGTTTTTCAACCTTCCGTCTTCAGTCCTGCTGACAAGCCCTGAGATCTCCTTGAGGTCTCCCATCCCCGGTTCGCAAAGTTCTTGCTCTGCCTCCTGGGAGGATTTGTCCCGTCAGCTCCACCCGGAGCGAGAAAGCGACCCAATCACTGACTTCTGCAAATTCGTCAGTCTCCTCCTCCTCCTACGGTTCTTCCCCGATGACGTCACAGAGGAGGAGCAATCGGATTCGCTCTCTTCTGCTCCGGAAGCGGTGGGGCTAACCGGGAGACGCTCACGGCGGAGGGGGCTGGGCCTGCGTCGCCGGAGCTCCTTAGAGATGGGCAAGAAAGAGCGAGGTAAGCCGTTGGCGCTTTGTCGGGAGGCTCCTCGGCTTCGTCTCCCTAGAATTGGAAGCTGCTTTTGCTACTGTCCGGGATGCCAGTCTCGTCTTCGGGACGTTGTTTCTTCGACGGGGAAAGTTCTTCAAGACCTGGGGCCATTGGGTTTCCCTTCCATGCCTTCCTCATGCCCTAAACGCCGGTTCTCTTATGCTTACAAAACGTAAAGCCCAGCTGGTAGCTTTGTGCCGGTGATGCCTTTGACCCCAATCACCACGACCTGGTTGGTGATAAATCGGTGCTTCACCTAGTCGCCTTATTTATTCTCTCTTTAAAGCAAGATGTTGTTTTTGCTTGCAAAGTCGTCTCTCCCCCCCCCCTCCTTTTGCTATAACCAAGAATAAGCTATTCTGTAAATCCTTTGAACATTTTCATATGCAGAATGTATATATAGCTCTGTGAATCATGGCAAGCCCTTTAATAAGATTTAAGATGCAGTTATCTCTCGGGATGTTTTTTATTTCCTCTATTTAGAAAAAAAATGTCGGATTAGTAAACCTAACATTGCCTTAATCTAAAGGAAAGCTGGTAATTTGTATAGCTGTCTGCTTTCTCCTTGAATATTAGAAGTGGGAAGAAGCCTTGAAACAGCTAAAGCAATCTTTGCCAGGCTGTTTGCCTTAAATGATCGCTATATACTCATAGGAACAACGACTTCTGAAACCAGTAAAAAACTGTGCTGACAGTCATGGTTCCCTCAAAGTCTTGCATTAAGAAATGGCTCCATTTGTATTGTCATGTGGCTGAAGGGAAAACAGTTGTGGAACTGCATGTGTGTTTAACACCGTTGGGTTTCCAGATAAGAAGAAATCGAAAAAACGCCACCATGAGGAAGAAGAGGAAGAAGAATATGACCTTACAGGCAAAGAGTCCCAAGAAGCAGTTCCGTCAGCTGCAGGGAAGCAAGTGGAAGATTCTGGGACCAAACTTGATGAATATGGTGCAAAAGACTACAGGAACCAGATGCCACTCAAAGCTGACCATTCCTCGCGCCCATTGTGGGTGGTAAGTTCTTTTAGATGCACTGCTTTTCAAAACAGTTTTGTTCAAAGAAAGGAAACATAGCTTATTGTTTCCTAGTCTGCTAACTTCTACATGTGAACCTATAAATAGTATCTCTATACCTGTTTGATTCATGTGATGAATGAGACTCTCTGTATTTCACATTATACATATTCATCTATTTTAAAGGAGCTGGAAGGAATATTTGCTGTAAGTTATGTCCTTCTATTATGATAAGGTTTTTGATTTTTTGTGATTTGTATGGTGGGGAGAGAGAGGATTAATAACAAAAAGTCACCCATGCAGGCAGAAGGACTAGTTTTGCTCTGTGGATGAATTTTCTAGGACAGTGATGGCTAAACATTTCTG